TAGATATGCTTAGCATTTGTTTCCCTTGTCCTGAATTTGGTTTCCTGGGATGAAAAGTCAATGTCATCTCCATTTCTGTGTCACCTCCAGACAGCACAGGAAGGTGAGGTGTGCCTGCTCAGATGACTGAGAACCAGAAGCAATCATACTTTTTCCCCCAGATGTACTAGATACAAAAGGCAGAAATTTTATTTTTATACTTTTATATTTTGGAAGAATGCGCAGATATACACATGTAGTGTGCAGATTTACTTATACACATTCTTCGTAACATTTAGAGTTATGAAAATATCCTTTTGTGCCTTTGCTCATGGGGAAATGTGGAGAGGGTCAGAGGATGCCTTTTTAATGTTGGCATTCTGGGAATCTGAATTTGAAACGTTTGTACCTCTGTCTAAATATAGCTATCTTGAGAACTTTCAAGCTTGTAGCATCCTTGTTTTGGTGTATATTTCTATTTACCCTGTCTTATGTATAATGAAATCTAACTTCTAAAAGTGATGGTATTAACCTGCTCCAATTTTAGTTCTAGAACCACTCATATATTCTGTTTCTCCAAGCTGTGATGTGGAAAGATTCCCCTTTCCACCTCAAATGCCTCTTGGTAGAAGGTCAGCATGCTCCAAATATGTACGGATGTTTGGGGAAGCCCATGAAAACTCAGGTGTCTTGTTTGGCCAGGACTGGATCCTTGAAAACTGATTATCCTTCATTCTGTGGTTGGTGTGGGAAGAACCACAGAGGTCCAAGGATGAGACTTAGAACTCTGAATCAGGTGTGTCTCTTTTTCTTAAGAATGCCTTAAGCCATCTGAACATTAGCAAGATGACATAAACCTTTAGGTTTGCAAAGTGTTTATTAGCCAAGCACAAGAGGGCCAGTGGCGTGGAACACAGGTGAAGGCAGCCTGCTGAGCTGGGTCCTTGGAAACAGGGAAAGGTTGTTCTTATCTTTACCCCACATTATATGTGCCTTGCAGCTGTGTAGGTGTTCAAGGGGTGTCTGGGGAACTGAACACCTACTGTGGGTCATAGTTGTGCTGGCTTCTCTCTGATTAGGCAAGTATGCCTGTGACACCAACAGGGTGGCCACTGGCTGTGGCCCACAGAAATAGAGTGATGGTCTGTTCTCTGTTGCTAAGTAACAAGCAGTGCTTAGCAACAGAGAACCATGCACTTGGACCTGTCACATGTGTGGTGGACTTGGCAGACTTTAGGTATGGTGCTATTTATGAAATGGCTGGGGTATAAACTCGGACAGTGACCAGGATAGTTAAAGTTTATTTTGTTCATTCTCTTCCTTCTGTTGTGATGTTTTTGATCAAATAATGCTATTGTTATTGCTGAATATAATCCCAAGGACAAAACTGAAAGGGCCTAGTCATTCAAAAGAGAACACTTAAAAAAAAATCCATTGGGGAGGAAATCCTTTACAGGGAGGAAATACACACTAAGAGCTTACCTATCTTACACTCTTATTTGGTAAACCTATCTGTGTCTAGATTGCTGTGCTATCCAATACACTAGTTATACATAGCTATTTAGGCATAAGTAAAAAATATATACAGAATAGAGCAGAATAAAATAAAATATTCAGTTCCTCAGTGGCAGTAGCCACAGTTCACATGCTCAGTAGCCACGTGGCAAATAGCTACCGGATTGGACAGCATGGACAAGAACATTTCCACCTTCACACAAGGTTCTGGTGGTGGGCACTGATTTGGAGCACAGACAAGGACAGGGAAGCAAAAAGAATCTCATTGTCATAGACTGCCTCTGTGAAAAGCACAGGCTTGCCTGAGAGAGATGTCCCATTACTCAGGTTTGTCCTTTCTTTAGATGTGGGTGGATGAGGTTTCTATGAACTGGGGACATGGGAGGTGGGAGGTGAAAGGCCCTGACCCAACTGTCTCCTAAGAAAGCTGGACCAAAGCAGGAACTGGGAATGGCTATTCCTAGGAACAGTGCTTGTTCTTGTGCTCTGGATGTTGGGGGGCAGGGAGGCTGGGAGTATTCCCAGGGGCCTCAGCCAGGCACTGAATGCACGGGGAAAGACACATTTTTGCACCCCAGGTTGCGGTGGGAAGTCACGGCAGGATCCCTCTTTTGCGGGAATGATCTATGGCCACAGACAGGATGTAGAGATGAGCTACAGTAGGATTTTGGCTGCCCTGAGGCAGGGCCTGTCTGAGAACAGAAGGGCACAGGAAAAATGGAGCCCAGGAGGTAGATGTGCAGAGGCTGGTCAAGCTGTACCACATCTGCCCTGACCTCAGATGTCACTTTTTGCTTTGGATTTTGTCAGAACTGAGATGTCCTAGCAAAAACCGAGTCAGGAAAACTGAGAAGCAGAGAGAAGAGAAGGCAGCTATAGTGAAAGCAGAGAGGAGACATCTGTAGGTGTGGAAACAGAGACAGGGTTGGACTGGGATCCAGAGACAGCTAATCTTGGCATTAAGTGCGTCTCCAGGCCAGCATGAAATTGGTAATAACAATAAACTCAAAGGGAAATTCTATTCAGATTCAGAAAAAAAGCAGTATGCGGTACCTTTGAAGAATAATTCTCATTTAGAGTAGCTAAAACAAAATGAAAAGTTGTGCTTCAAGGGAAAATTCAGCTTTCCAACATAATTAATTCCCAAAGGGAAAATGTCCCTATTAAGTCTAGAAACAGAAAAATCACAGCTAATGTTCATGACAGCAGTTATCTAAAGATCAGTCATGAGCTGATTCAGGCTCATGCTCATTCCAGGTTCACCCACAGCAGTGAGATCATAGAAAAGCAAGGGGAGTGTGAATTCTCACCCAGTCTCTCTGGCCTGACTTGAGAGAGGAGATCTGGCCGTGGAATGAACCTGAGCCATCAATCCTCGCAGAGCTGACTTGCACCCACTGCGCCAGCCGCCCTCAGGATACCCAATGTCAGGAGCACAGCAGCAATGCTTATGCTGTTGGGCACGGTGTGCAAGGAGGCCCTAAGCAGGTCACCCCATCTCCTCCTCTCATTTCACTTCGGGGCAGAGCTGGGGTGTGGATGGAGCTGGTCTGACTCCACCCTTGACCCCCAAGTTCAAACCAAAGGTGGTGTGGTCCCTTCTTGCGAGAGCTTTGAAGAATATCAACGGCATTTTAGTTTTATTATTTTATTGCTTTTTTAAGGCACCTTACTGTTGACCTCTGAGTAGCTCTATCTTTGATAGGGGGGAGAAGCCTAAATCCAGGCCGAGAGGAAGCTTTCCAGGAGACAGTGCTTTTGGAGGGGTGGTGATGCCAATTTGAGTTTTAGTGATCTTTAACTGGAGTTATGTAAGGTTTCCCTTCATCACTGTTTGGGAATTTTGTTGCATAACAGGATTAAACCAAGTAAATACACAATTTCTCCACCTGTGAATACCAATGGTCTTTAGTTTTTGCAGTATTACTTTTTGGTTGACTTGTTTTATTTGTCCTGCTTGGGCTCTGTAGGGCTTCTTGGTCCATCTTAATGGCTTGTTGTCCATCTTAATCAGTTCCAGAAATATTTCAATCATTATCTGTTCATATGTAGTTTTTGCCTATTTGGTCTCCTTTTTTGAAGATCGTTAACTTCCCATATGTTGGGACCTCTCACATTCTATTTTCTAGTTCTCTTACTGCCTTCATCTCCATGGTCCTGAAGCAGAAACTGAGATGAGGGCCTGCGTGCAGGTGATTTGCTTAGGAATGTGATTCCAGGGACAGGTGTGAGGAATGAGGTTGTGAAACAGGGAAGGAGGGAAACCAACGCAAGCAGACTCACATCGGGCCAGCCAGCGCTGTGAACCACTGCTCCGTCTCACATGACTCAGTAGGACTCTTACTGGTGTGTCTTTGAACCAACTGAGAACCAGCTGTCTGAAACGTGGCATGGCCTCCCAACTTTCCCCAGAACTTGCAGATGCTGTCGGGAAAAAGTGGCTCCCAGCAGTGGCCTCACCTCCCTGAGCCTCTGTTTTCCCTGGCCCAGTAATTCCTTACCACGCTCAGGCTCTCTGGTGTTGGTATGCAAGTGTTGTAAATGTTTTGCTCATCATTATCCCCATGGAGAGTGTGAGTCTCAATTACTCAATCTGTTTTCACATGAGGAGGAAGTCTTGCATAATGTCCCTAAAATGTGACAGATTCTGGTTTCCAACATACATTTCATCCAAACGTTTCACATAAGTTAGTGAGGCTTTTCCATATTACTCTGTACTTCTTTTCTCCCTTCCAGTGTCACATGACTATCTCCCCATCAGTAGACGGTGACCCATCTTCTTCTTTGTAATGGCTGCATGTAGCAAACCACTGAATTTGAGCATTTATTTAACCATTATGAATGGATATGTAAGGTGATTACAAGTTGTCTACATTAGAAACAAGACTTAAATGGAATCCATGTACATCTTTACACCATGTAATCAATCAAAAGATGTGCTTGGCTATCGCAATGGTGTGAATGTTCGTGTCCCTTCAAATTCATATGTTGAAATCCTCATCTCCAAGGTGATGGTATCACAGGAGGTGGTGGGGCCTTTGGTAGGTGGTTATAAGAGGTTATAAGAGGTGGTTATAAGAGCTGAGCCTTCATGAATGGAATCAGTGCACTTCTTTTTTTTTTTTTTTTCAACGTTTATTTATTTTTGGGACACAGAGAGACAGAGCATGAACGGGGGAGGGGCAGAGAGAGAAGGAGACACAGAATCGGAAACAGGCTCCAGGCTCTGAGCCATCAGCCCAGAGCCTGACGCGGGGCTCGAACTCACGGACCGCGAGATCGTGACCTGGCTGAAGTCGGACACTTAACCGACTGCGCCACCCAGGCGCCCCGGAATCAGTGCACTTCTAAAAGAGGACACAGAGAGCTCCTTTGCTCCTTCCATCATGTGGGGACACAGCGATGACAAGATGGTGACCTCTGAACCAGGAGGAAAGTTCTCACCAGACACCAAATCTGTTTGCACCTCGATCTTTCACTTCAGCCTCCAGAGCTGTGAGAAATAAATTTCTGTTGTTTATAACCCTCCAGTCTATGGTGTTTTGTTATAGCAGCCTGAACAGAGTCAGATAACTGCCAACCTACAAATTTGGGTTTTTTGTGAATATGGTCCACGAATACAGAGTGTGCAGAGAATCTTATGTGGTGAATCTTATGTAGTGTAGGTGAGAAATGTAGCACAAATAGGAGGACCAATGTAATATAAATAAATAAAACCTGGCAAAAGGTTATCTTCACCCCGAAGCTTAAAAAGCTGGAAATTACTCACATGGTGTGTTATCAATCAGTCAACAGCTGTAGAGATAGGTAGTAGCCAGCGATAAAATGCCATACAATAATTTTCAGACCATGACTTTTCTAGTCATTCCCTTTTTCCTAAAACATTTCCCTAGAGGGTTGCAGTTACTACTTAATATAACCTTTAAAATTTGTCTCTGTATGGGACTTAGATTCAGAAGTAGCTTTTATGATTTGGTCATGTGAAAATATTTTGTATAACTTTCATACTCCAGGCACAAGAAAGACATTTGATGAAATTCTCTTCCATTATATGTTTTGGAAGCAACTTCTTGTGTTAACATTTTATTTCTAAACTGTTGGGTTGGATGGACATTTTTGCTTTTTTGAGTTCAAGTAATTAAGACACTGATAAAAATAAATTCACTTTTCTCTCAAAAGTGGATCTAAGCCAGCTTCATGCTGATTGCTATTCCAAGTTGTGGATTCTTGGGTCCAGAGGGCTTTCAAAGTCAGGTCCCCACTTGGGTCTGTGTTCATGATGGGCTGCTGGCTGCAGAGCATGCAGTGGTCCCCGGGGAAAGTTTCCAGGGACTGATGCCAGGCTCACCTGGATGCCTGCTTGATGACAACACAGATTCCTGTCTCAGAATTGTTAAGCCTGAATCTCAGGAGGCGGGGGTTGGGGAATCTGGACTTTTAATAATTCTGCATAGTCAACTAGGTCCTAGTGACCAGCTTTCAGAGACCACTGAATAATCCCAACACTTCATGTATTTCTGTTTCCATTTAAGAAAGTGACCTGGAGAAAGAGAGCTTTCAAACTAGGCAATAGCTTTTTAATAAAAATGTTTGTTTGTTTACTTGTTGAGAGAGAGGGAGACAGTTGGGGGATGGGGCAGGGAGAGAGAATCCCAAGCAGTCTCTGCATAGTCAGCCCAGTGAGGGGGCTCAATCTCATGAACCATGAGATCATGACCTGAGCTGAAATCAAGAGTCAGATGCTTAACCAACTGAGCCACCCAGGCACCCCTAGGCAATAGCTTTTTTTTTTTTTAAATATTTTTTTTGGATGAAACATAACATATATAGAAGGGTGTATAAAACATGTACAGCTTAACAAACTGACATGAAACAAAACCCAGGTAACTTCCACTGAGGTCATGATAGGAAACACTGCCAGCATGTCAGAGCCTCTCTCCTCCCATTCCTGACCACAGTCTGTGTTCCCACCAATAAATCACAGCCCCTCAGGGTCCCAGACAAGAGGAGGGGTATTTTGTCAGGGTTTTGCCAAATCTCTGCAGCCTCTTTCAGCCCAGAGCTGCCTCTCAGATGTTCCTGCAGGCAGGCAGTTTTTCAGGATCCGAATGCAAATTGGTAAAAGGGGTGATTCTTTTTGTCTCTTAATCATAGCGACACTGGACTCAGACCCCTGTCCCCTCTACCTCCCTAAAATGGAATACTATACATATTTCTCTATTTCTTATTTCCTCTCTAAGCAGTGATGCTCAACTTGGCTTTTAAAAGTACCTAGAGAGCTTTCAAAACTCACAATGCCCAAGCCACACCCTGGACCAATTTAATCATAACTTCTGGGGTGGGGCACAAGCATTGGAGTTTTTTTAACTTTTTATTTTAGAGAGCGAGTGCAAGTGTGGGAGAGGGGCAGAGGGGGGGGGAGAGAGAGAGAGAGAGAGAGAGAGAGAGAGAGAGAGAGAGAGAGAGAGAATCCTAAGCAGGCTCCATGTTCAGTGTGGAGCCCAATGCAGGCCTCGATCCCACGACCCTGGGATCATGACCTGAGCCAAAATCAATTGGTTGCGTGGGATGCTCAACCAATGCAGGCATCACCATATTTTAAAGCTTCCCAGATGGTTCTAATGTGCAGCCAAAGTTGAGAACCACTGTCTTGAAGCTCAGCACTCTGGGGCAAAATAATTCACTAGGGACCCACTGAGGCACTGAGCCACTGCTGCCTAGAATCAGCTTTATTTTTACCTTCATTTTATGCCTTTGAGTCCAGCTGTTGACACTGTGAAGGCCACACACTCTGATTATGGCATCTGACTACTAGGATGGTCCTCCTGGCACAGGTGATTTAAGGGGAAGCAAGCTGAGAGAGCAGTACTATGGGGCAGAAAGGGGAAGAAGAAGCAGTCATCTGCTTGGGTGTTGTCTCTGGTGTGTGGACCCTGGGCAAAGAGTAGAACAAGAAAATGCCCTTGAGAAAGTGTAACTACTTAAAATCAGTGGATAAGTTCAGGAATCCTTTTTCTCAGTGAATTTGTAAATGCCCTGTGTTCAGGGCTCACTTCCCTGCAAGGACTTTAGGAGCTTGGTGACACTTACGGGAATGAAAGCAAACGTGTTCACAGCCTATGTCTGCAGGCACACCCTGATAAACAATGCAAATAATACCCAAACACCAAGACCCCGATCTTCCCACTCACATTCAGTTAGTGGACTTTATTCACAGTTTAGTGTCAACTGCTTCCATCTACCACCCCACACAAACAGTAGCCCCCACTCCCTGCCCTCTTACCCACTGTGCAGTGTACGTGCATCTACAGTCTCCTTCCTCTCTTGTAGGTAAGCTCCCTGAGGGCAGGATCCACCTGCAAATTACCAGTGCCTAGAGTACTGCCTAACACATGACATGGCAAGTGCTTAGTATCTGTTGAATGAATAGACATCATACTTGCCTAGCTGGTAGCTGGTATGTGTCAAAAATGGCTCTTTGTCTTGCAGAGTGAAGACACACACTCTGGAATTCTCTGGTGGAATGAGGGGAAGGTGCCACTGTTAAAGAATGGCACAGGCCTGTGAAGAACACAGCCCGTTTTGACCAAACCCTGTGGCTGCCTATGGGACAAAAAAACCCCTCCTGCCGGCTGTCTTGGTTTACAAGTATTGGAGATGGGAATCATTTTGTTCTCACCCTGCTCTCTGGAGGGAAAAGAGTGGGAAGAAAAAAAAAGAAGTCTTTATTTCAACACTCTTTTGCTTGGTTGCTGGGATTCCTCTTCTCCTTATCATAAGGATATGGGGAAACTAGGGGACACCACCAAACTTGTTCCCAGCCAGTCATGCCAGAGGCAAACTGTGACCCTCCAAGAGTACCACTTTGAGGGTTCCATCACTATGGCCTTTGCTAAACGTGAAGCTGAATTCCTGCCTGCACCAGCCTTTATTCCAAATAGCACAGGAGCTGATTAGTGCCCCTGACATCTGCACGATAGGGTACCAACCATGGCCAAAGAGGTGACAAGCCAGAGGCAAAAATCCGACTCTAAATAAACTGAGAAAGAGACAAGGGAAGAAAGCTGTGGCTGCCTGTCCTAGGACATTATTAACAAACTGCTAAGTACCAAGGAGTTTAGAAAACCTGTTGGAATAGTTGGCCTGCCAACTTCTCTTGCAAATAGGGTGGGATTTTCTAACGTTTATTTATTTTTGAGAGAGAGTAAGAGACAGAGTGCGAGTGGGAGAGGGGCAGAGAGAGAGGGAGACACAGAATCCAAGGCAGGCTCCAGGCTCTGAGCTGTCAGTAGTCAGAACAGAACCCAACACAGGGCTTGAAACCACGAACCGCAAGATTATGACCTGCGCCAAAGTTGAACACTTAACTGACTGAGCCACCCAGGTGCCCCCAGGTTGGGATTTTCTTAGTAAGAGCCACCAGCTGGGTAACTCTGTCTAGTCTCCTTGCTCTTGCAGGCCCAAACTTCTGCCAAGCAGCCTTCTGGATGCACAGACATATTTTGGGCTGATTTCTTTCCCAAAGAAGGACATCATCTCCGCCAATCATATATCTCTTTATTCTTGAGAGTCAAGGAAACACTTAACTCTTTTATTTGAATATTTTTAAAGTTTATTTATTTTGAGAAAGAGCAAGCATGAGTTGGGAGGGGCTAAGACAGAGAGTCCCCAAGCAGGCTCACGTGGAGCTTGACACAGGTCTTAAGATCATGACTTGAGCTGAAACCAAGAGTTGGATGCTTAACCGACTGAGTCACCCAGGAGCCATACACTTACAAGTATGCATATGTTTGCTCAAAAAGGCAGAGTAGAAATTGCCTAAGTGAAATAATTAGTTGCTTTCAAGAAATGATTTCTGGGTGTAATGAAACGTGATTAACAAGTGACCCGTGCCAAATAGGAAATGTCAGTGTTAAGATTCCCAAAGAACAATGGGACAGATGAGCTACTTGTCAACAGAAATAATAACAATGAATGTCCATGTCCATGCAGACACTGGGGAATGTCTTTCTTACTGAGAACCATTTCCTATCAAGTCTGGGTCGACCTTAAGAATCTTCCTCATTAGTGTAATTAAGGGAGTTTTCTCCAGTCAACTTATTTATAATCCTTACCTCTTCCCCTACCTGCTTCTCGTTGGAGCAGACATCATTCAATGTGCTGTCCTGTCCTGCTCACGCATAGTCCTGCCGCCTAGTTCCCTCTCTCGTTCCTCCTGAACGTTCAGTGGAACGTGGGATTTTGTCCTCTAACACAGCACCAGGCTTGGGCACCTCACCAAAGTTGGGAACATTAGAGTCTCAAGAATCTGGACTTGGGACAAAGAGACTGTAGTTAGTTGGTGGGATTCCTGAAATGGGAAGTCATGGAGAACTGGGCTTGAGGCAGTAGTTTTCTGCCATGGACATGTCCATGCAGAGAATGCGTGTCAGATGGAACGCATTCAGGTGCAAGCACAAACTGCTCACATGCATGAGGGGTTGTTTTCCTCATGCAATCTGAAAGCCCAGGTGTAGGTGGTTGCTGGCAGAGGTGAGCAGCCTAGGTTTTCTGTTCTCAGACTGCTGTCGTTTAGACCTCAAGGTGTTTTCCCATGGTCACAAGACACTACTGTCACTCTAAGCACAACTCTGGGGTTCAGAGCAGAAGAAAGGGCAAGGCCTATCTCTCCCTTTTATCAGAAAAGCAAAAACTTTTCCTAGAGGTCAAAAGAAACCCTAGATTTCTTTATCTCAAGGCCAGAATCTAGCCTAGGACCACCTTAGCTTTAAGAGCTGGAAAAGTAACAATGTATCCAGCTGTAGTAGAGGGCAGCAAAAAAGAAGGGAGGCAGTCAAATAACAGGGCTTGCCCCAGAAACATGCAGGGACCAAGAGACAAAACGTGGCGAGGCCCCAGGGAGGATGAGACGAACACTGTTCCTGTTTTTCCAGGCCCTTGTTCCAGTCCCTGTGAGGCTTGGCTGTATTTTCTGTGATGGTATTCTGTGAGATATCCCCATATCCTTCCAATAGATCCCTCCCTCATCTTAAGTGGGCTTTTGTGGATGTCTGTGCCTGGGACCTGCATGATCTCTAAGATGCTTTTTCTACAGTGAACAAGTTATTTTACATTCTCTAACTTTCCACTTTCCTGCCCGAGCTGACACCAGAGCTTCCTATCACAATACAAATTAGCTTGAAGCCCTGTTTAGGGCAGGCCACTCTTTCTCTCCCCTGGATTCAGGGCAGGGAGAAGGGCTCTGTCTATTGCTGCTCTTCTTTACCCCTTTGAGATGGTTTGTCTTCCTTGATTACTCATAACCTTGAAGTCTGCCCTGATTGTCATCACCTTATCGATCAATCCATGGGCACTCCATACTTTTGGCCTGTTTCTTGTCCTCTTCCATCCCCTCAACCTGCCCATTATAATGTTACTTATCCAAGGCCTGGTTCACACATCACCTCCTCCATGAAACCTTCTGTGGGCATTGCTACCTGATGGCACTTGTTCCTTGTGGCCCCCAAGGCATCATGCAGTTCTTCCATGACACTGTTTTATATCAGTTATTAGGCTTATCTCCCCTCTGAGATTATAACATGTCTGCATGTTGGCTCACCTTATTTCACCTTCGTTTCGTCACAGCACTTGGCTGAGCACCTGGAAGGCTCTCAGCAGATATCTGTGAAAGAAATGGAAACAGTATGGGATTGGGAAAAAGCACTGGACTGGAAATAGGGAGTATTTCTAGTTTAAGCTGTGAGGCATGCAATTGGCTGCTTGCCCAGCATCACTGCCTCTCCTTCCATGCTGGTAGAACCCTGATTTATTGAAATCAATTGCCCTCCATGTGGGCCAAAGTTTCAATGAAAGTGGGCCTCATCCCCAGTCTCAGGGTGCAAAGAGGGTGTCTTCTGGTTGGTCTAACCCAGTGGTTCTCAACCAGGGGCTATTTTGTCTCCCAGGGGACACTTGGAAATGTCTGGAGACATTACTAATTAGCATCACTAGGTGGGACGCTATTGACATCTGGTGGATGGAGGCCAGGGATGCTGCTAAACATCCTGCAATGCACAGGAGAGCTTCTCCCTGCCACCCCCAACAAAGAATTATCTGGCCCAAAATGTCAGTGGTGCTGAAGTTGAGAAACTTGGTCTAACCAATTATAGGGGTCCCATCTCCCTGCTGATAACTGGGTGGCAGCTAGGCTGGAGCCTGGGGGGAGAACTGAAGCCACAAACAGCAATGTGGACCTCACCATGACTTGCAAACAGAAAAACGGTACTAAACTGCACTGCCCAGCAAAAACAAGCATTAAATTCAGACCATTTAACTAATTTAGCTCATTCAGACCATTTGCTCCAAGATAAGACAAGCTGACCTCCCAATAACTCCACATGGACTCCATATGGACTCATGTGTTCCAGATGAGACCACTGACTCCTCCAATGACTCTCCAAGTTTATAAATTTTGACCCATCCCTGCCAAGACTATCTGTTACTAACACCAGCCCTAACCCTCACATGGATGCTTCCATAACTCCCCCCTTTTAAGGAGCCTCACAGGTCCTCTGGTGAATTCCTTTGCTGTAGCAAGTTCAATAAACTTAACCTATTATTATTACTTTTTTTTTTACAATTCTGTTCCTGGCTGTTTTTTGTTGGTGGTCCTTACCGCTGCGCATGAAATATAAATAAATCTAATGCAATGAGCTAAGTTCTATAATTGGGCATGTTCAAAGTGTCTTAGACATAAAGATGTTCTGCTTGAGAAATTAGGAGAAGGGTTCTCAGCAGAGAATTAGAAACAACACGCAATGCTGAGTATCTGAAAGACAGGATTCAGAACCGGAGAGATAGTCCAGACAGGCAGGAAGGGCCAGGTCATGCAGTGCTGTTTAAATTATCCTTGATACAACAGCTATACCAGTTGTATTGGAGAGGGAATGAAATAAAATACTTCCCAGGCCTTAACTATATCCCTGGCAGTCCTGGAATCCCTGAACTGGATTTATATATACTCATTTCCCTTATGCTGGCTCTTGGTTTCTTCTTAAACAGTCATGTGGGATTCTAGTGCCTAAGAAAGTTAATGGCATGTTTGATCAGGGGAACCTTCAAGTGCAATAAGGAGATTCCTTTATTTTTTTTAAGTTTATTTTGAGAGAGTAAGAGAGTGCAAGAGCACATGAGGGGAGGAGGGGCAGAGAGAGAGAGGGAGAGAGAATCCCAAGCAGGCTCCCTGGTGTCAGCACACAGCCCAACATGGGGCTCAAACCCACAAGATCATGGCCTGAGCTGAAATCAAGTGAGATGCTTAATTGAGCCACCCAGGCACCCTGGAAATTAATTCTTTAATACTTCATCCTGAACATGCCTTTTCTAGAGATGATGCACAGTAACAGGACTTGGTTTCCTCTGATTGGAAATCCTGTTTTTCCCCCAAATCCAATCCTTTCTCAGCTCCTTCATGTGTCAAATGCTCTCACAAGATCATATTATTCTTTTCTAGTTCAATTATTACATTTCACATTTTACATTTATCTTTATGATGACCTGATTAAAGTCATCTCTCATTAATTTACCTTCAGTGAGGGGACTTGTCTATGGTTGGCTCATCGTCACCTCCCAGAACCTAGAAATATACCTAGTTGACTAAAATATTGCTAACGAACGAACTGAAGATTGCTTCCTGCTTTCTTAAACCTTATTTGTTGCAATTAATGATAGCTTCTATTTATACCCCACTTTTACTTTTTTTTTATTTAGACAAATTCTGATTTTATTCACATTAAATCATGTTAAAGGGACTAAAATAAAAACAGGCATAGCTGTGCTTAGTAATGCCCATTATGAGTAATGCACACGTGAAAAATCCTAAACTTACAAAACAATAATTTTCAAAATTCCTCTTCTTTTGTCATTCTAAAGTCACTCTGCTTCTACTCTTGCTATATTGAGGGACTCTTAAAACAGTAATGTCACTTTCTTGGCCTGTTCTGCAAATCCTCTGACCAATCATTTAATTACTTTCCCCCTCTTCATCAAAGAAATGCAAGGTGTACACAGTTTAATGGGTTTCCCATTCTGTCTATCATTATCCACAACTTAGTGTATGCTACCTCAGATACATATACTTACAGCATGGACAAAACAGTATGTATTAGTTAACGTGATTTTTGCAGTGTATTAAGTGAAAACACCTGCACGTTCAGTCAATGGACTATTCTACCCAGTGGTTCTATTAAGTATAGACCTGGGATAAGCTCTCTAGTTGCATATATTCTACTTATGACTATGTCAGCCCCACTTTTACTTCTAAGGGTAACTCTTTAACAAACTTTATCAAATGTTCTGTTAACAAAAAGATTTAATACTCAATGTCCCTAATCCAAAGGGCGGCATATTTGTCCCAAATTTTCCCCTCAAGTGGATGTTTGTAAAAGGTAATATAAATTTCAGGCGGGCGTTACTTGCACTCGTGTCCCTCCCAAAATACGAACTTGTTATTTTTTTAACCCGCTTATATGAGCCAGGGTCTATGTCACTTCACAAGCAGCGCCAACTTCTACCGACACAAAAGGCCAACACCTAAGTCCAGCACCGCCTATGTGCACTACTCTGAGCATGACGTTTCCTGCCTCCCCACCGCCTGCAATGAAAACACAGGAAGCGCAGACGCTGAGCTGGGCGACCCCGGGGTTAGGCTACGCGCCTCCCGATGCCTCTAAGGCGTCCGCACTGGGCCGGGACCCGTTTCGGAGCCCCGCACCCCGAGCCAGGTACGTGACCCCAGACCTGCCCCACTCACTAGTCCTGGCGGAGAGGAACCTCTGACCTACGCTCCGGAGGCCCCGCGCGCCAGCTCCCGGAAGGGGCGGTGGTCGTAACGTCACATCCGCGCGCTGTCGGGTGAGGGGCGTGGCCGAGGGCGGTGCGGCGGGATTGGGCAAGTGCTGAGCTCTCGTTGCTGTCTCCCGGGTTGTAGCGGGGCTGGGAACCGTGGCGCTCGCACCATGAGCGAGGCGGACGGGCTGCGGCAGCGCCGGCCGCTGCGGCCGCAGGTCGTCACGGACGATGGCCAGGTCCCCGAGGCCAAGGACGGCAGGTAGGCCGGGACCCCGGACGTGGGCCGCGAATGGCTGGGTCGACCCTCCTAACCAACAGGACAGCAATAACAGCAGTTGGGTAAATGCGTTACCAAGCGGGGTGCAGGTGCCATTCCAGTTAATTCCTCTGGCTAAATTCATTTTACAGGGCAGGAAACAGGCCCTGGCCAAGGAAATGCACCTGCCGCCTTCTTGAGGCTTTGGTGCATTCTGCTTCCAATCTCAGCATTGTTTCCCGGCTCTCGGGGTCTCAAGACCGCCTTGCTTCCCATCTGCCCCTTTCTTCGTCTCAATCTCACCCTAACTTCTAGAGCAGTTGCTTCCTCGTCTTTCCCTCAGCCCCCCTCCTCCTCCGCCGCCCTATTCTTCTTGCTGGCTTACCTGATCCCCGGGGGAGAGCCATCTGGCCAGGGTCCAAGGTCTTCCCTGTCCCCGGCTCGCTCTGTCCGGAAGGAAGTCCGAAATGCTCAGGTCGCGCCTCGTGTTCCAGCGTAGAGCTGGCCTCTGCACCTGCCCACTTCTCTCTGCGTGGTCACCAGCCTTTACCGTGGTTTTCAGGGAAAAGTAGAGAACAGAAGTGACATTTAATGTTAAGCAAATTTTGTGAGAATTCAAGCTTGCAGATTTTTTCCTGATAGGGACGGAGAAGCATAGGAAACTAGTTGATGCCTACCTAATAAAGAAATCTCAGATTTTTGGCCTTTGCTTCTCCCAACCTTCCAGAATTTAAGCACACTATTTTGTTAGCTAAAAACTGAAGCATGGCCCTTAAACATCTATTTACATATATAATACTTAAGCTTCTTTTTTTAATTTTGTCTCCTGAGGCTTGTAACTTTGAATTTTTAGGGAGAACCAAGAGGCTCCATGTAGACCAACCTCAAAGTTGTGGAACTGATTGAATTCTAAGTTGATGGAGATATTTAGTGGAAATATCAGTATGTCAAAGGGTGTGGTGCATACTGAATGAGGGCCAGTTTTTGTGGGGAAAGACTGAATTTATTCACTGATAATAAGAGGACCACATTTGAAGGAGAGCTATAGCAGAGACGAGTGTTTTGACTCTAGAAAGGCAAATGGCAGAGAAGAGATTTTGGTTATTTTTGACTCCCGGTGCCTGTGGAAAGGTCAGGAGTATGCTGAATAAACTCAGAGGTTTCCACGGATGCAGGACTTCCAATGCTAACCCTGGGCAAACCAGGACAAGTTGGTCACTCTACTTATTGTGGATATTGTGAAGTCATGGTCTGCTGATGACAGAGGAGCTTTTTAGAGTTAACATGCAAGGATTGGCAGTGCTTTACGGCAGAAACCATGAAAACGAGACTTGTTTCATACTTGCTATATGAGAAATGAAAGAGCAGCTGGCCCTGAGTTTGCTTTGAGGTGCAGTGTGTTGAAAACCAGGGCATGTAGCATCTGCAGGCACTTGTGGGATGGGCCCATCTCACCTGGGCTCCTCTGAACACTCCTGACCGCAGGACAGAGGGGCAGAATTAAATTGTTTTTCAGTTTCTCTGGGATTTCTGACTTAGTGGCAGGATAAATTGGGTGTTCCAGAATCATCATCTGCTGCTCATCTTTTCCACTGTGCCTTTTACAAAACTATGTTTATTTAAGAAATTTTCTTGACTTCCCTGTCCATGAACATTGTTCTTATTTTCCTGTGTTTCCTTCTTTCTCTTATGTATTTGATCCCATTGCCATATATCTGTAATGATCTTTTTTCAAAATGAGTTCTCACCTTCTTCCTTACATTTAGTATTGTACATTATAGAGTTATAGTTGTTTTTCTAAATTTTCTCATTGTCTTCTTGATTTACCTTAAAAATTTAGGATTCACCAAAAGACAGGGAAGCATTGTGTATTGTGGGTGAAGTAAAGGAAACCGAAGGAAATAGAAATCTGACAACTATAGAATAAACTTTAGATGTGCTAAACAGGAAAAAAAAAAAAACAAACCCTTGAATAATATGTTATTCAATTAACAGAAATAGGACAGTAGATTTTAGTGGAAGGGATGCCTAGTGATACCTTAGCTAGTCTCCTGACTCTTGACATAAAATGTGATGTTAGCTCTGATTGCTAAGGTCATTGAGATCTATGTGAGTGAAGTGATTTATATAACATTAGAGTAATGGAGTCAAAAGAGAAGCAGAAATGAATGAATGAGGATAGCACTGGCAGCTGGACAAGGATTGAAAAGCATATTTTTAAAATTATGCTTTGGAAATAAGGTTTTATACCAAAGCTCTTGAATTTCTGTACTTAAGCTATAATGGGGAATGTGGTCATTAAATCCTTTTATTCAGTTTGGAATATAGATGAACTAAGCACTTGAACAATACTGGAGCAAGCTGATAATTATTTGGCATTAGTTTCCCCGTATGCTTTAGAAACTATCAGAATGATTGTAACACTGAAACTATTCCTCCTCTTTTGGAACATAGTTCAGTCTGGAAGAGAGAATAGCTGCTTAATGTCTTTATGTAACTGTTAAGGACTGAAGAGTGAATACATTGAAATTTAACAACTGCTTTTTCAATAAACTTCTAAAGGATTTTAGGCTAATTAAAAATCTCTACTACATTCATTTTTCTTTTTAAGACTGAGGAAAAAGGGAGGCAGGGTGGAGAGACAGATGTGGCCATCCATCATAAAGTCATGGACATGAGGAGTCAGGAATCCATGATTTCTTCTCAGCCCTTCCCCCTGAGTGTGTGTTTCAAATGGCTCTTTTAACTTGTTTCTTATTATTTTCAATGCTAAAATGAAGACCTCTACGGTCCAGGAGCCCCAGTTTAAAGTAATGTGTGACACCAACAAATTCAAGGTGCAGTTGGTTAAAAGACTAGGCTGGCTGCTATTTGACTTTCTCAGATTCCACGGGTCACCTTGACACCTGGGCCTCTGGTGCCCCACAGATTTGTGGCTAATAGGTTTTCCACAAAATCACGGGTTGTTTTTGATCTCATGAAATCTTCAGTCCATGAATGATGCCTTGCCCTGATGTTGGAGAACATCTTTCAGGTTCGCCTGGTGAAATTATAGAGGATTTTGCAAATCATGGATGAACCAACAGTAGTTGCCAAATCCTGTTGTATCACCATGATTGTTCTATTGCCCTTAGAAATGTTGGAAATTTCAGGGTGCAGGTGTCTTCAAGGAGGTGAGCATCACTCTGGGGTTTTCTAAGAGATTGGGCAAACATTGATTTCCCAAACTGCCCCTGGAACAGAAGTTGCCAGCCTTCCTGGATGTGTCAACACAGATTGGGAAAGAGAGTATTGTGGGAACGTGCGCACTTTTGTCAGTGAAAATGGATAGAGATAAATGGAGTGTCCTTTATTTAATAAGGCAGATGTGCAGAGGCAGGGGGCAGACATGGAGGAAAGGCAGAATTATAGGTGAATGTGAGTTTGCAGGAATGAACCTTGGGCTAAAATAAATGGGTACAGAAGCCCCATTGCCACACAGTCACAGACTCAGATGCTGCCAGGGGAGTAGCATTCCTGCTACCTACCATTTAGGGAGTGCTTTTATTTTTATTTTTTATTTTAGAGAGAGTGGGGGAGAGGGGCAGAAGGAGAGAGAGAAAATCTTAAGCAGGCTCTATATGAGTGTGGAGCCCAATGCAGGGCTCAATCCCATGACCCTGGGATCATGACCTGAGCCAAAATCCAGAGTCAGATGCATATCCAACTGAGCCAGCCAGACACCCCAGTGCTTTAGATGTTCCAGGCCCTGGCCTTAACACTGCACATATAGTGGTCATTTTGTTTGTGGTAGAGTCTGTAGCAGGTGTGGGGCTGGGAGAAGAAAAGAGTGTGTGATTGTCTGAAGAGTGGAAAGCCCTGTGCACCTGTCCTGCAGCCTTAGGTTTCATAGATCTCTTTTTTCCAGAGAAGCTGGAAACCCAGATTTTTATGTAAAATCATCTTATTTTTCAGTTATGGCAATTAAAGCCATTTTGTGGAATGATGGTTATGGTTTAAACTAGAGCTTTGCTTTGAGTTCTGGCACCACTTTTTTTTTTTTTTTTTTTTTTTTTTTTTTGAGAGAGCAAGTGAGAGAGCACATGCGCATGAGAGTGGGAACCTGTGGGGTATGTGGGGGAGGGGGAGAGGGAGAAAGAATCTTAATCCGGCTCCATACCCATCACAGATGGACACCACATTTAATTTATTGGGGAATTTTGACAAACTCTGAAACAACCAGGAAAGTTCTGCAATCCCTACCATCTGAGGAACTCCTGCAGGACTGGGGATGCTTTGCCCAAGGATGGTGGTGTGATCTTGGGTGTCTGGGAGGTCAAGGGTTTGCTGCCCCTGAAGGCACACAGCGGGGCCCAGTCAGTGCAAGCAGAGATGAAGTGTGTTTCGCAGAACATATTGTGTGAGGTGACCTGAGCAGCCAATGTCCCCCAAGTAAAAGAAGTAGGGAAGTGCTCTATGTTGTAGCCTTCATGGACATTCATCCTGCATGCCGGCAGGCACTTCCCCGACCTTCAGGGCACTGTGGGATCTGCCCCTGGCTGTGGGCCTGACCTGTTCCAGCAGCTTCCCCTCAATGCTTGCCTTGGTCATTCTGTCTGTGTGGTCAAGGTTTGGGAATGGGGGCTTAAAGTTAACCCCTTAAAGCATGTATTCTTTATTCATGCCAAGTGCTTATTGAATCTTACTGTGTTACCTCTGTCTACATTGCTCTGCCTCAGGTATTTGATTTTTTCCCCAGCTTCACTAAAGTCTCTGTTCAAAAGTCATCTGCTTTGA